TTGTTTCTCACATGTATTATTTGTTTTCTAAAACTACTCTTATTCATCAATAGATATTTTCAATATAAGTGATTAAAAAGAGAGGTATTTTAAAGACAAACACATTAAGTGACTAACTCAATAATTTTTTTTTTAATCTATGTGAATTAGTTATCAAGATCCTATCCTGATAGAAAAATATATAGTCCTGGCATTTAGAACCTGAAGTATTTTGTATATGTGTGCCTATGTTACATTAAAAGGAAGCTACATTTATGTACCAGGAAAAAAAAAAAGGAAGCTACATTTTTTGGCTGAATGAAGGTAGAATTTTGCCTCTTGTCCCTTGTTTGAACTCAAAGGAAGGTGTATTGTATAAGGTCTCCATATACTCTGAAGGATCAATAGGTTATGAAATTATTATTATTATTATTTATCATCATCATCATCATCATATCAAGGTCAAAAACTGATTAGTGATGACATAGATAAATGGACATTTCGTTGCTCTTGATCACTGTAAAAGGTCAGCCAACGTTTTGAATGAATCGTGTGGAATATAACTTGATGTGATTTAAGGGGGGTTTCATACGGCATTTAATTACATTCAATTCAATGCTATAATTCAACCACCATCTATATGTAGTGCGTACTGTCATTCTGTATATAAGATATTTCTCATTAATGCATTTATTCTTTGGAACAGAGCGTGGCAAAACAAACGAATTTTTGGATCTGGTGGCGCTTAATGAGCATCTCAACTACAGATTTACAGCTTTTGAATTTTTGTTTTTCAATTACTCACAGGTGATCTATGCTAGAAGTTGTTTAAGACACAATTGAATCATTAAATGTGGGCATATTTTGCAGTGAAAATTTAAATATTGATTTACATGTTATAAGTTAAGTTTTATCCACGCTTCAAAATTATTGAGATGCATTTCTCTTGAAAAATTTAAAACAGCCTTTACAATTAAAACACTCTTGATGAATTTTGTCCTCTTTAAAAATTTGAAATTTAATATGTTTGAATATTATGTGACAAAATTTTTTATAATTGTTTGTTTAAATCAAAAATTGTTATTGTATCACATGAGAAACTTTATTGAGTGAGTGGATTGATACTACTCACTAATCTAAATCCATAACAAGCAGTATTATACACGTAATTCAAGATTAGACACTTTTCTTTGTTTTATTCTCATTTCCTCCAAATATTCACCTTTAAAATTAGAAAGGATAAGGGATGCAAACTAAGTTTTGCTGATATTATTGAGTTTTTTTTTTTTTTTTTTTGGGTGGGACGGGGGGTGGTTTGGTTTGGTGAGCTTATAATAGACTTTGTAGACGCATGTATGTCGTAGTTGTTCGGCATTGTGAATATTGTCTTGTTGGTTGTGGGATACTTATTGTATAAACGTCATTAAATATTATTTTAGCATGTTGAATATTTGACGTTTGTATATTTTGAAATTGCACAATCATTCCATTTAATTAGGATTAATTAATTATTCGTATTGACAGTTTGTCCATAACCCATAATGCTAATAATAATAGATAAATCATTAATACACGGGTGAAAAAAATTACAAGCTATTACAGGAAGGATAAAGAATTACGTAAAATGCAGAAAAAATTATTGACGATTCATTAATTTAAAATACCAATGCGTGATTGTCAATATGGTAGCAGATGTGAGTAGGAGCTATAGCAGAGAATACTTTTTTTTTAATAAATAAAAATTTATATGAGTTGGATCCTAAAAATTTGTTAAAATTAGAATATTTTTTTAAATTTAAAAAGCACTTAAAATAGGTTTTTGACAACACTTTCACACACATATAACATATATAGTTACAGAATGCATATCTTTTGGGCAAACAAAAACATAGTTAGAGAGAGGTTTGTATTCCTTTATGGAGATTTTGATAAGTCTCTTTCCCTGGAAGAAAATATAACTGGGGCAAGAAAAAAAAAAAGAAAGTAAACAAGATATACGTTTTATATCTATTTTGATTCAAATGTGATGTAATAACAAATAATGCTCATTTGGTATCATTGAATTAGGACGAATGAAATGGAATCCAAAACAAAATCTTGATGCAAGTGTATTTGGTTGGCAAGAGTTGTGATTCCTAAGGAATTTAGTTCCAGCAAAAACGTTAAAATTCGATTCTTTCACACACTTTATGGAATCATAGAATTCACCCGTTCAAACCTTAATACCCTTCGTTTCAATGCTCCAATTTCAATGTCACATGCCTCTATCTTCCTATCACCCTTCTGTTTCTCCAACAACTCCTCCACCATTACTCCCTGTCTTCGATGGTCAATGTGAGGCACCATCATCTTCCTTGTTGCATGTGACAACCTCCATCATAGAGATCGTCAGTGGCAATACCAACAACAAAGACGATGCTACTTTAATCTCATGGTGGCACTCAACATGGTTTAAGGACGATCATTGGTAACGAGGGAGGCATCACCATGCATTCTTACCGACATTGAAGGATCCATCATCGGCAATGACCCACCTTTTAGCTCTCCATCAACTCAAGGGGCTTCACACTACCATCACAAGTTGACAACGCCATCATCCATTGACAAACCGCCCCCACAATCTCTCTCTCTCTCTCTATTGCACAAAAGTCGATGACTCCATAACCGGCAATGACCCACCTTCTAGATCTCCATCGATTCAAGGTGCTTCACACCACCATCATAAGTTAATGACTCCATCATCCTTGTTTAATTAGTGGATGTTGTTTGAGCCATGTTGTCGAACACTTGCTTCTTGGTGGGTGTGAATTTGGTAGTGAATGAGGTAGACGAAGAAGATGAAATAGGCAGGTTTTGGGGATGGTTGTGATGCTTGGACTTGGGATTTCAACTATATAGAGGGAGATTTTTTATTTATTTAGGAATATTTTAGTCTTTTAATATATAGATATGTATATTAAATAATAAATAATGCAAGGATTACATGTACACACCAAATACACATGTAATCTAATTCTATTTCAATTTCAATTCTGATTTCAATTCTAATTTCAATTATATCAAAAACACTTCCATAATATCAAATAAGGCCAAATTAAACTCTTTATTCTTATTAGAGATAAAGTAACTTTTAGTCTTTTATGTTTGGAAGTATTGTTGATTTGGTCCGTCCATTTTAATTTCTATCATTTCAGTTTTTTACGTTTGCTTTTGTTGTTAAGTTATTTCTTTAAATTTTGTAAGATAAAATAACTCTTAAAAAAGATGATGTGGAAATTAGATTGTTGATGTGAAAATATATATGTTGATTAAATAAAATACATGAGCCAAATCTATCAAGTTCTAATTACTTATTTGCTATTTATTTCATTGTTTTATAATTTATAATTTAACATTATACATTTTTATTAAGGCATATTTAAAATAAATAACAGATAAATAATTAGGACTTGCCAAATATGACTAATGTATGTTATTTAATCCATGTGTATATTTCCCATTAACAATTTAATTTTCACATCAGCTTTTTTAGGACTATTTTTTCTTCTAACACTTAAAGGAGTAACCTGATAATAGAAGCAAATGCTAAGGATCCAAATGATATATTAAAGTTTAGTGACCAAATTGACAGAATCCCCAAACACAAGAGATTCGAAGTTGCTTTATCCCTTCTTATTAATACATCAAGCACTATTAAACTAGGAAAGCAGCGATCTGAATTGTCATACTTACCTTAAAGTTTTGGGAAAATCACTCCAAGGCTCCCCATAAAGATTATAATTACCAAGGTATCTCATAAAATGCTCATAATACTCTCAAGTCTCGAATCCTGTACAATTACAACTTGACAAAGTGAAATGATGACTTGATAAAGAAAAATAATAATTTGAGAGTTTAATATTAAGTTGTCATTTTCCTTTATCAAGGTATCATTTTTTTTGTCAAGTTATAATTGTAAAAGATTTAAAACTTGATAGCAATTTGTACATTTTATGAGATTTTTTGATAATTAAAATTCTTATGTGGGACTTCTCAATAATTTTTTATAAATTTTTTTCCTATAATGTAGGTAAAAACTTTAGTTAATGAGGCTAGAGAAGTTAAAATGGGTGCAATATAGGTCCATTTTAAACTCTCTAAATGTAAAAAACAAGAAGAGGTGTGTAATTTATACTTTAGAAAATTATATCTATAATTTATTAATATTGTAACTTACTCATTCAATCCTATATACAAGATAGGGAGAGAATATTATTTTATCTTATTTATAAATTACATTATTAAACTTTTTAATATATATATATATAGTAGATGCAAAATTAAAAATTTATTTAAATTGTTAGATTGAATTAATAAATTTTAAAATTTTCTCTAATTTAAAGTAATTTATAAATAGTACTAGTTAGTTGAAATATCATTTTACCAAAAAAAATATCATAATTATAATTATATTACAACTTATTATAAATTTATACTTTACATGCTATCTATTTAATATTAGAAAGTATTTTTTTTAAAATATGATATTAAAAATATAAGTGATTTTAAATTTATTAAGGTGTAATTAATAATTTTTTAAAAATATCTATAATTAAGAGTGTAATCAATAAAATTTTTAATTAAAACATCATATTAAAAATAAATATAAAGAATGGATAATTTTAAAAATAATTAATTAATTTACTAAAATATAATTTGATTAAAAATCTTGACCATACAGAATACTGATAGGACATGCTCCATAAAATATTGATATGATTTTTTTGGCCATATAAAAATATTGATTCCCAGGTGGCCAATCAAATGTCTACACGGAACGAAAAACACAAACCACTACCGAAAGCTGAGGTCGAGGGGGCGAAGCATGAAACATCCACCTGGCATCACTCGGACTGGCCTATAATTGGCTCCAAAGCAGTCTTCTATGATTTTCAAATGTCCAATTTAATATTTTTTTTATTATTTTAAACCGCGTTTCTTTTATTTATTAAATGCGCATTTAATAAAAACAATAAAAAATCGTTTGAACCTGGGGTGGCCTGACGGAAGAAGGGAGAGAGGGAAGGTTGAACTGTTGAAGCCACAGCCTCAGGCCTCATCCACAGCCACAGCTGGTAGGGGAGGGAGAAGAACCCTAACCTCTCTGTCTCTCTCTCTCCTCGCCTCTCTCGCGCATAGGTTGATCAGACCCCAGCGCAGAAGACTCAATCTGTTGGAAAATGAGTGGTCATATTCCTCCTCCTGGTTCCAGAAGGAGCAGTTCGAGCCAGAAGCGTGCACCATCCACGGCTTCCAAGAAGTCCGTGCCGCTCGAAAATGGAAGCAATGGAAATGGCACTGCCACCAAACCCTCTTCTCCGCCTCCGCAACCGTAGGTTTCTGATCTTCTGTGATCAATTCTTGTTCTGTAATCTTTATATTTCTCTAGCATGGTTGATGCATATCATGAGGCTTGGGCTGCTCTTTTTTTTTTTCCCCGCCGGAACAATACACTTTATTACATGGAACTGGTGAATTTCTCTATTAACTGATGCAATTCATGAGTGAAGCTGCTGCCCTGCGCCGGGTAGCTTGCAGAAGTGATTGGTTTCACATACTGCGGATAAGTCTATTGCTGTATTGGTTTTCTTGTTTAATTTGGGTTTATTGATGAAATTCTTTAGGGCTGTTGGGGGAGAAAGGACAGTGAAGAAACTTCGGCTGTCCAAAGCACTCACAATTCCTGAAGGGACGACAGTGTCTGAAGCATGTAGAAGAATGGCAGCTCGCCGAGTTGATGCTGTTTTGTTAACTGATTCCAATGCATTGCTTTCAGGAATTATTACTGACAAGGTTTGGAGGATCTACTGATGGCTGCCTCCTAGTCTGTCCGTTGACATTAGTGTTTGTAAGTATTTTCTGTATGAAATGTTTGAAGTCTGTGTATCTTGTGGTCAGGACATTGCTACTAGAGTCATAGCTGAAGGGCTACGGCCAGAGCAGACAATAGTGTCGAAGATAATGACTCGGAATCCTATATTTGTTACTTCAGATTCACTAGCTCTTGAAGCCCTTCAGAAGATGGTTCAGGGTTAGCTTCATTGTTACTGTTACCTTTATTATTCTTTTTGTTCATGGCTAATTGCATGAAAATCATGCATAGATAAAGGGCCTGTGACAATAATGATTGATAAATTAGAGATAAAGACTTCGCCAGTAAATTCCTAGGTCTCTCATGGCCCAATTCTTGGTAGTCAAGTATCTTTAATCGTTTCATTTCTCTCATTAGGTGTTGATGTTGCAATAAGAAGTTTAATTCACAGGGACTATGCTTTTTAATTTAGATAACTCATCAAGAAGACAGGGTTTGTCATTGCAATAAGTCATGGAATTTTGATTTTTTCCATTAATGACACTGTTAGACTGCATAAACGAATATGCAATTATTTTTGTTCATTTTTCCTTTTATCTATTCTTTCCTTCACCAATTTTTGCTTCATTTTTTGCTCCTAAATTGGCAGTTTCAATTTTGTTGGTGATTTTCTTGGTGCATTTTGTGCCTTGTAATTGTTCATTCCTGTTCATTCACTTGAGACTTTTGTAAATGTCTGTTATTAAAAATTATTAATGTTATTTCATTGAAAATTGGTGCATGCTTGGGTCTTCTTTGTTGGGCCAGATTTCAGGTTTTTAGTCTCAAGTCTTCATTTTTTTTAAACCATCTATCATCATAGTCTTTTTTTTTTTAATTTAATATTGGGCTTGGATCAACATGGGCTATGATACCATGTTGAAAACCTGGTGTGGGTTCAGTGTAAGTCTGCATGATAGAAGTGTGTATCTAAAATTATTGTGAGATCTGATATTCATCATGTAGACTTCAAGGGCGAGTGGCCTTTTGCCCAAAATGCCTAAGGCATTTGCTCTTGGCTCCCTCAACCCTCTTGTAGCCTCCTAATTTCCCTTCTCCCACCGACGTGGGACATTTCCAACATTTGTCTTGTTGATTTTCTTTATGTTTACATTTTAAATCATTATATCTATGAACTATAAAATAGTTCTTTAATTTAGATATGTTTAACCTTTTGCTCGCAATTAATAGGTAGATTCAGGCATCTGCCTGTTGTGGAAAATGGTGAAGTCATTGCCTTGCTGGATATTACCAGATGTCTATATGATGCCATATCTAGGATGGAGAAGGCTGCTGAGCAGGGGAGTGCCATTGCTGCTGCAGTTGAAGGGGTGGAAAGGCAGAGAGGAGGCAGCTTATCTGGTTGGTTATTGACTGTCTTTATATGCACATCTTATGGGACTGATTGCATGTAATTTGTGAACTGCCTTTATCTGCATATATGAGTCTTTCAAAGTGTTAAATGCTTATAACCGCCACTGTTGAATTGAGAGCTTTTATTGTATTTTTCTCAAAACTGAATTTATCATTTGCTGATTTTCATACTCTCAAGTTGATATTACAGTTTTATCCTGGAAAATTTTTATTGTTTATCTTTCTGGCAATAAATAAGAGACCAAGGAACCATTGGTAAATAAATATTTAAATAAGCTTGTAAAGAGGGGCAGAAATCTCTGCTTTTTCCTAGCCCTTTGTTCTGTCTAATTGATCCTATTCAAAATTTCAAAAAAATAAAAGATTTGAGTAATAGATTCGTGATATTTTATAGTCAATTTGAATGTAAAATTCCAACTGTTTTCCTGAACCTATGTATTTTAAAGAGGTTTTCTTTCTGCTTTGTGCAACTAAAATTCACTTTTTATATTATACAATCAGAGGGTTATTTCAACATGGACTTGTGTTAACTTTGGTGTGGTGTCTATTATCTCTCGGGGAAGGTGGAAGGTGCAATTATAGGAATGTTATTGGATGAACATGGAAGTTCTGGTTTGGGTGCTGCTATATTTCACTTGTGTTGACTTTAAGCGTTTGGTGTTTGGGTGTCAATTTCACTTGTCTGCATGTTATTTCAACTGTTTTCAACTATATGTTTTACGAGTATGTTTACTTTCTTAAAACCTGGAAAAGGAATATTTTGACTATTCCATAGCAGCATATGATATATATATATATATATTTTGAGTGTTCAGTCTCTTTCAGATCTGAGTTCCATTTTTTTGGTTATCTCTTGCTACTGCCTTTGCCTTTTATTCCAAGAGTCAACATGATGCTAATAGAAGTCTGTCATCAAGGAGTTTTATTAGCTGGTTCCTCTTATTGAGTTATTTTTATTTGGGCTTGTTTATCCATTCAAATTTGTTCCATTAAACTTCATTCAGTCTCAAGGGTTGCATACTTTACTGTTAACTATATTATTATCAATGTTTTCCAAAACTTCTCCAACCTCTATTCTTTGCTGCTGACTTCTCACCTTTTACCAATTTCATGTGCGTTTTATAGCGTTGAAGTTTTGCCAACATTGTTTTATTGATGTTGATACAAAAATAATGGCATCAGAATGAAGTTACATCTGGTGTCATTTTTATCCTTTTATGTTGTAATGATGCTAATGCTCTGTTTTGATTTTGATCTAAATCAGCTTCAAATGCTTTCATAGAAACATTGAGGGAGCGCATGTTCAAGCCTTCACTGTCAACTATTATTGGTGACCATACAAAGTAATTTCCACGTCATGTTTATGCTTTCTTGTTTGGTTTGCCAAGCTATGCCTCACCAAGTTTTGTAGCTTTATGTATTTCCAGGGTTGCTATTTCATCAGCATCAGATCCTGTCTATGTAGCTGCAAAAAAGATGCGGGATTTGCGTGTTAATTCAACTGTTATTGTTGAAAGAAACAAGATTCAGGGGATACTCACGTAATAATACAACTTTTTCCCTTTAAAGTTCTTAATTTTGAATACTGTTCCTGATAGCATGTTTTTGAGGCTAGAAATCTCCTTGTAAGATATGCGATTGTGACCCATACTTCATGCTTGTTGTATAATTTATTGTCATGTGAATCTTTCCTGCAGTTCAAAGGACATTCTTATGCGGGTTGTGGCTCAAAGTCTATCTCCTGAATTAACTCTAGTTGAAAAGGTTGTTCTTATTTGATCTTTTTTTTTTCAAGTAACTTTAGTTGAGAAAAGGTTTATTCTGAGATTTTTTTAAAAATATTATTGGCTCTGATTTTTCCGTTTGATTTCTTCTCTCCTATTTTCCCTCTCTGTTACTCTCTCCATATCTCTTTTTTTTTCCTCAGGTAATGACTCCAAACCCTGAATGTGCATCATTGGAGACAACGATTCTTGATGCACTGCATATGATGCATGATGGAAAGTTCTTACATCTTCCTGTGGCGGACAGAGGTGAGCTTTGCTTTACTAATATCATAGGTTGTTTCTTATGTTGTAGAATGTAGATATTAATTATCATTTGTTGTGCAGATGGATACGTTGCTGCTTGTGTGGATGTTTTGCAGATAACTCATGCTGCAATTTCAATGGTAACTTGTGTTTGGGATATGTATAAGTAATAATGAATAGAGTACAGGAAATGCTTTTATTTTACAGTCTCAATAATGATAGGATCTGGCATGAGGTGCTTGAGAGTTTGTATATTAGTACGGGAAATCCTATATGCTGTGTCAGTTTTTAAATGGTAGATATCTAAAAGACTTCCTTTTCCCTTCCAAAGGTTATCAGATTTGAAAGCAACTTCCCCTTTTAATTTTAGTTATGGCAGCATTAATATCTCCTTTATTTGAAGACAGTGCCTTTATTATGATTTAGTTTGTCTCCTTGAACTATCAAAATATCGTGTGTTATCAGCCATGGGAACTTCATTAGATCTGTCTGACCAAGTACATCATCTATCTGAACCTTGCATGCCACTTTTTACCTCATCGTGGCAATGCTTATATTACTTTTAGCATGTCCAAGTTCTGTGATACATGCACCATCCCTTCCAGTATAGCAGTGCTGAAGTTTATTATATTGCGTATTGAGAATCACAAGTTAATATTTGATGTATTTTGTTGCAATTAAATGTGGACCCTGTGTATTGTACTGAGTTTAAGGAACGAGTTGCATTGTGTGGTTTGCTTTAGATTTTATGGTTTATGTTGAATTATACTGAATATTGAATGTCGATGTTTGGCACAATTATACATTTATATGATTTTACTATTCTGTGTGCTTTGTAGGTTGAAAGTAGCTCCGGAGCTGTTAATGATGTGGCAAACACAATTGTGCAAACATTTTGGGATTCCGCACTTGCTTTAGACCCACCGGATGATTATGACACTCACAGGTACCCTATGGTACTATACAGTATACATTCTGTTCAAACGTATGGTTTGTTCTTTAAAGCAACATGGAATATGTTTGAATGCAGTGATGTCTCTGGGTTCATGGCTTCAGAAGCAGCAGAGACTGCAAAGTCTACATATCCGTCTGTTGGCTTTGGGAATTCTTTCATCTTTAAATTTGAGGACCCTAAGGGCCGTGTACATCGATTAAACTGTGGTGAGTGATCATTCTGGTGAAAAGCATAGCAAGAACTTGGGGATATTTACTGTCAACGTTCTTGCACATTGATATCTGGATCCTGTTGATATAATTCTGTAACTTCCTCCCCACTCTTTGATTCTTGCAGGAATCTCCTTTTCGAGTTATCTAATAGGCTGTTGTTATTTGGATATGTTTTTCAGGGGCTGAGCATCTAGAGGAGCTTATGTCTGTTATCATGCAAAGAATTGGTAATGTTGATGATGAAGAACGTCCTGTGATTATGGTGTGTAATGCAAGTTAATTTCCTTTGCCTTTTTGTTTATGGTTTATGCATTGGTTATAATAGTGACTTTTATTTTTGTTTCTAGTATGAGGATGATGAAGGTGATAAAATTCTTCTTGCAACTGATAGCGATTTTGTTGCTGCTGTTAACTACGCTAGATCAGTTGGAGTAAAGGTAAAGACGTGTTTAACTTTTACTATTTGGTGACTTAATCTTGTATGAATTGATTGATCTTGTTATATACATGCTAAATAAAACATCTTTCAGGCGCTAAGGTTGCATTTGGAGTTTGCCAATTCAAACAAATCAATGGCTCCAGACTCTGTTACCGCAACAGCACAAAAAAGTAGTCTATTATCTATGAGTTCAGCTGTTCTTGCGGGTGCTGTTGTTCTGACAGGCATTGGCGTATTGGTCTATTTGAAGCGTTCCAAACAATGATTAGTTGCTAGTTTTGGAAGCAGCCCATAAACTTGCCGCATAAAATTCAAGAGCTCTATGGGATTTCATTTAATTAATTGCGATAACGAAAATGACATGCATCAAAATAGTCGTTCTTTTTGGTTTATTAAATACCATGGTTAAGCTTTGGGGAGATACCAAGATAGTGAAGAGATGCCCTCATCTCTTTTTTTATTTTTGATGTAGATGGGATGAGTAACCTCATCAAAATGTAAAGATAAAATCTTGGCGTTTAATTTAATACTTGCAAATGTCTAGCCGTTCTGCATTATTAATGTGATATAATGTCCACAAACATGCCTTAAGTTGCCTTTCTATAACAGATGCATTAATAGGTTGAGCTTAATGTCTGTCACATACACCAGCCGCAAACACTTTTTTATCCTTTCAATTTGCGTACGTGTATGTTTCGCCCATAAATTTGAAGACAATAGAGCATATTTTGAGATCATTGGAGATCTTCAAAGTTCGATTGTTACACGTATATATGTTATTTTTCCGTTAATTCAATTTTTTAAGTATTTTTAACTGAATTTTGAGTTGGTTAAATGTTAGGTTGAAGGGAAAGTTAATGCATGACCCAAAAAAAGGCAAAGTTAATAAAACTACATTTAACTGTGTCAGCAAAATGTATTGAATTATTTTAATTTCTTAATAAGTATAAAGAGTAGATTTTATTGATAGTAGAGAATATTTCTCCTGAGATGTTGAAAGCAATGTGTAAATTTTTTTCCAATTAAATTGTTACATGCACGAGCTGGATTTGAACCTTTATTTTAATTTCTAGTTATATGTATCATACTAATTAATGAATGTAAATATAATTAAAATGATAAGTTTTATTTCATTAAATTAAAATTTAATTATGAAATTAATTCATGTCATGATCACAGTGGATTATTGAATTCGAGTCAGCAACCAAATTACGTCACGACTCACGATCATAGTGTATAACTGAAGCATTCTAATCTCTATGAAGAAGAATCTTGAATCTCAAGAAACACATTTCCATAGGGATGAAGTTCCATTGTTCTGCCCTATGCCGTTCGAACCACCACTTCACAATCACTTTTAACTTGAACCAAGTGATATCCAAGATCCCATGCCATTTTCAATCTCCAATATGGTAAGAAAAACCATGCAGCATCTCTCTGTTGTGATCCCATGCAACTCCAGCATGCGTGGCAACTCATGATCTCCCCATATATCAATGTGACTATTACCGGTGATCTATTGGGTTAGATTTTATGGTTATTGTCATAGTCTATCAATTTTTTAATTAAGTGTCTATGCTTGACTCTTTTTTTAGACAAGATTTTTTTATGAAGTGGAACCGTTTCTTTGATTTATAGAGTATAAATAAACTCGTTGTCCTGCATAATTCTATGGTATGTCTAGTGACGGATTTAGAAATTTAAATTAGTGGGGGCAATTTTTTTATTAGAATTCTTTTAAAAAATTAATAATATATAAATTTATAACATGAACCATCTTCCGTTATGTTAATTTGGAGGTAGAGCTCAAATAAGGGTCGAGATTTTAAAACTTTATTATTTATGTAAAATATATAATCTTTTTCAAATGTCATAAGTGATATTCTTAATTTATAACAAGCAATCTTTTAAATCTATAACAATATTGTAATTTTCTTGTTTATCTTTAAATTGAATTTGATTTATTTAAGTTAATATAATTTTTAATTTAATAAAAAATAATTTCATATATCAGAATTTATATTTTATTACTAGTAAATGTTTAATATATTTATTTATGATATAAAAATAATAGTTATTTTATTATTTCATATTTTTATATATTTTTGAATTATTGTCTTTACTGTTCATGTATATTTTTGTGGTAATATAAAACTATGTATTAACATTTGTTTTTATCAACTTTTTTGGGTCAACTTCATTTCTATCCTCTAGTAAAAATTTTAGATTCCTCTTAATTATTTGAAAAACAGGAATATGAGGAAATTAGAAAACATGAAAATGAAAAAACTTAAAAGTATAATCCCTTTGTTAAAAGATGTAAGGTATTTTTTTAAGAAATTGAATATTAAAAAATATAAAGTATTTTTAATTTTTGAGATGTAATCATTACATTTTTATCAAAAGTGTCTTTATTGATAATGACTTTATATTTATTATAAAGTGTTTAATAGAGGTAAATAAAAAAAGATAAGATTAATTTAAAAATTAATAACTATTTATTAAAAGATGAGATTCAATTAAAAAATATTTTATATTTTCGAACGAAGAGAATATTAATATATCCAAGAGTTTAATAATACTTTAGATAAAACCAAGAGTTTAATAATACTTTAGATAAAAGAGTTAAATATAAATTAATAAAATAATTTTTTAAATTAATTTTGCTAACTTTGTTTTCCCCAAAGGAAATGAATTTTGGACCCACACCAAATACCAGTAAATTCAAAACCAATTCTGGTGAGTAACGGTTCCAGTTCTCTTCGTCGACGAACAAGTATCCCATACTCCGTCGGACGCCGTCCACCGTTGTTAGCCCTGCGTGTTTGTTCTTCGGTAAGCAGTGAGGAAGGTTCGAATCCTAGGGGATTTTCTACTCCCAATATCGGGTGAGATTGATTTGTTCGATCTGGTTTTGAGTCTACATTTGAATTTGTTTCCTTCTTCATCTGTTCCCCGCGTGGCTACTCTTGATTTGTTTTAAATTTTTCATTTTAATTTGGCTTTAATCCGTATAATCGTTGAATATTGACGCCTTTGAATTTGGGAATATTTACATATTGAGTTTTTTTTTTTTGGGAGTAGTTTTTGCTTGAATGGTGTGTAATTGGTATTATATTTCTTCCCTCTTTATTTTGATTACTAGAGACTTGCATGATTTGGATAATGTTGATTTGCAGTGTTGGATTTGTTGTGTATTGGCATTTCTGTTTATTAATCTTTTTATAATATCATCAATTTTGGAAATTCTCAAGGTATTGTGATGTATGATCTTGTAAATGACTTGGCTCGAGTTGTGTCAAAGTATCTGGAACAAAAATTAAAAGAGTATTATATCAACCATGCATGTGTCAAAGATTTCAATGGGGGCGTAGTATTGGTCCGCCTATGGTCATGTCTGATTTTAACGATGGTTCTACATGCAATACCTAGGTGTCTTGATGAGGAAAGATGGAACTTGAGGAAGAAGAAAATAATCTCCGTGCTATGAGACTGTTATATAGGCTCCTTGAACATAATAGCCTTGGCCTGCAAAATACAAATTCAGATGATGTAAGTGTTCTTTTATTTTGATGTTTTTCTTCTCCTCGTACTGGGCTTTGCCAGGAGATTTTAATTATTCCTCCTATCAAACTTCATCGTGCTTTTTAACTCCTTCATTTTCTGATGAACTGTTTTGACTTCTAATAGGTTTAGAGAGATGATTAATATTTTTCACATTCTATGCAGAATGTCGATGGACTGAAAATGTTTATTTTCACATAGTGCTTCGTTTTTCACCTGAGGCATATGTAGGGCAGAGATTTGAGAGGAAAACTTGATCAAAGTCATGTGTTGGCCTAACTTTATTTTCTTCTATGAACCTTTTGAGGTCATTCCTCTCCTTTGTTTGGCCACTACAGCACTACAGCCTCAGTATGATAATTTTTTATGTCGACTTCTTTCTATCTTTTACAACATTATTTGAGTGCTCTAAACCAAAATTCTGCGTGACATTTTAAGAAATCTTAAAGTATGTTACGCTGTTGTTTTATTTTTTCATGGCTGGATTTTGTATTAATATTTATTGCTAATTAAAGCACCCTAAGGACCAACTCCTTCAATATTCTATTCTTTTGTCTTTAGCAGTTGGTTGAGAGAGCTCGAGAATTACTGAAAGTAATGCTGGAAGTAGCATCTGAAAGGGTTTTCGAGACTCTTTTAAAGGTTCATGTAGATCATAGTCTTTTATTTGCGGAAAAGATCATTAATCTCTCTTTTCATCTTTTCTCTTTTCTCTTTCCCTTTAAAGAAGGAAGGCCACTTTTCTTCCTTGGGGTGACAAGGAAACACACTTATTCGATAGTGATTTTACTTGCACGAAACATTTAGGCGGGATGCATTAATACAAATAGCAATTCTGTTGTCTAATTTTATATTCCTTTGTGTTCACTTAATAGATCATAGCAGCAGAAGCTGGTATCTCCAAGACACTCTTCACTTCTCAGCCTGTGGCCAGTCTCCAGTCAAGGCCTATTTGGCAGCCAACAGTTCTCACTGCTCTGTAAAATATCCAACACGCGGTAGATTTTCTTCATGGAAGGATGAACAACCCCAATCAAAGTCACTGGCTAAGAATCTGGTCAAGGCTATCTAAATGTAGCATCTCTGACAAAGGTGAAGCAGTTAGAAAAGCGCTTTCTGTGTTGTGAAGAAAGCTGTATAATGCAGCAGGATCTAGTCAAGCAGCAGCAAATTTTCTTACGAGAATCCCATTTTTCCTATGAAAGAGAATAGTCGTCGTGAACAGCATTATAGCGTGAGCACTTTTCACGTGGGTGAGCACTCAAAACAATCCCCAGACACGTTCGACTCGAGAGCGTGGTGAGTTTAGAGAAGTCAGGGAGACGTCATTACCATATAGAGTTGTTTGTGAAATTGAAAGCAATTCAAGCTGCGCTGAAGCTCAGGACGAGGAGGGGGAGACATCACCAATGACTTGTTTAAGTGTGATAAAAAGAATTGAATCTCGTATTGGCTTTGCAGCTTTACTCAAATTTAGTATATTCCAAAAAGAATGGTGCAGGGTGGCAAGAGTATGTGTAGGATGACAGATCCA